GCCAGTTTTGTACATTTTGTATCATATTACAAACTTATGACATGGCTTATTCTGTATATATATACCCCATTCTACTTCCACTTAACCTTATTAATATTATTTAAATTGTTTCTTTTGCATGTTTTTTGGGTTAGGCTTGTACACTTGGGGGGTTATAGTGGACGCCATCATGGCCTGATTTCGAATCGTGACATCAATATATTGAAACCGAGTGAAACAATATTAATTATAGTTTAAAATTATTCTAAATTCCATGGGAATTCTTTTATCTAGAAGAATGATAATTTCTTTTTAAAAAAACTTAAAACCCAATTGGGTCAAATATTATAAACTACTAAAATGTACACAAATAGCTGGCCCAAAATACCAATGCCCATAAAATCTGGGAAAAAACGAACTAAAACAAAACAAACGAAAAAGGAATGCAATAAACAAATAGAAAGAAAAGGGGAAAGATCTAGAATTGGAAAGTGAACAACCATCTCTGGACACCTGAAGATCTTCAGGCATCCTCAACAATGCCGCTGCGGAGATCACCATTTTCGATCAGAAATCATATGGGTTGAGCTGTGTTTCAAGTAAAACAACGAAGGTACACTCTCCAATCATTAGTATCATTTTTAAATCTATCATTCAATAGATAGAATCTCTCAAGAAGATTGATACCGCCGTTTAAGGAGTAGATCTATGACTGAAACTAATTAAGAATCAGTATTTCTAAGCCTTTCATCAATCTGCTCAATCGATCGGAACCATTCAAGAAAGGTCACTGGTAGCTAAATCGATAAATTTAGCTTCAATCAGGTAATTGCCATCTCCCTTTCGACTAATGCTTAAAACCATGTAATCCATTGATACATCTCATTTTATGATGATCGAGGTAAAAAAGGACCATTCTAATTGTTCAAACTAAGTATTTGTATCATATGCTTTTGTTGGAATCAAATACTTATCTGACACACTCTGAGTAACTTGCAATTTCATTACCTAATCTTATATGGATTGAATCTCATAAGGAATTAATACCTCCAGAAAAGACTAAATATCTAAATTGTTTATTACTTCAAAAATTGTTTTGAGCTAAAGAAAGTTGAGATTGAATTAACCTTTGAACCAATAACAGGTTCGGTGAAAATTTATTTGATCTCTATAGACCCTAATTAGTACCTTTTGAGCACCTCTATGCTCTCACAAGGTGCTAGTACTGTCAATCAGATAAAATTGCTTCAGGCTTAAAAAGAAACTCAAATGGAGTCACCAAAATCCTCTTTTGCATCCTAGAGTCTGAATTTGTGATTTTTTTATTTTTGTACAATCTTATATGTTCTCTTTATTGTGCTTGTCTGTTGAAATCTTAAGATTGGCGTGCTGCTTTTATCTAGTATCATTATTCTCCTTCCTTCTCTTGGAACTTCTTGTTCTGTTATCCCTTCATATGAATCTGCAAAACTAAAAACCAAAGTTAGCAAAATAAAATCAGCAAAAGTGTTTCCCTCCCTTAAGGATTGTTGTACTCTCAATGTGATAAGACTGTTGATTCTGTGAATGGAGTTAACATCCATAGTCACACTCCAAGGGATCTTCCAAACTCCATTAATGATGTTAACCATAGCCAATGAATTTGATTCATGATACTATTAGTAAACCTTTTTTCTAAGCATTATTGCATCCCTTCACTTATAGCCCTAGCCTCAACCACCAAATTAGTAGAACCATAAATCCTTAATCCTTTGGCACCCACACGAGAACCATCTTGATCTCTCAAAAAATAAGCAGTAGCCCTATGACCAGGATTACCTCAAGATGCCCCATCAGTATTGCATTTCAACCAACCATTAGGAGGTGGAACCCACCTTACAATTTTAGTCTGATATACGAGTGAGTAATTTTCCAACATGATCACCATTTGTGGACAAGTAGTAGGACAAGTTGTGTGAAACTTTAACCTATAAACTTGGAAATCTCGCACATTATCTTGTTTGTAGTATATGAGCCTCCATGCAAGGTTGTGTTTCTCCTCCTCCATAAACCATAATATGATATTAGGCATAGCATGGAAAATCACTCTGAATCTAGCATTAGCTTGTGCATTCCACCATTTTTCATAGTGTGTTTAATCTGAATCCATGGGCCTAAAATTCCAGCAGCCCTAGCATAGTAATCCCAAATAAAGGCAACAACTTCCCTATAGAGGAAAAGATGATCAATAGTTTCCCTAACAGGAATCCTGCAGCACTGACAAAACTAAGAAATGTTAGGGTTCTAACTAGACATAATATCAACAATAGCCATGCTATGCCATAGAGCCTCCAACCAAAAAAAGAGATTTAAAAGGTAATCCTTGCACCCAAATCTTCTTGTAATCATGTACATAATCAGCCCTATATCTGAGTGTCTCCTAGGCTGATTTAACAGTAATTTTTTCTATGCTAGATTTAATCCACCATGGTTTATCCATCTGATAGTATGCTTAACAAATCTCATATTTGATATGACATGTTCCAAAATATGATTATGCAAATGCTCCTGCATTATTTCAAAATCCCAACCATCTTCTTTAAGAAAAATATAAATATTAGCCATAGATGACAACCCGACGCTTCTGTAGAAAGAGAAAATAAAGGACCAAGACTGGTCCAATCATCAAACCATATACTAAAAGATCCTCCCTTTCGTTCCCACCACATATTATATTCCATCACTTCTCTGTTTTCTAACATTTACTTCCACACTTGTGAAACCACCTTCCCATTGAACAAGGGCAGGAATGAGGGTGTGCATCGGTCAGTTCGATTCGATTTTATGTATTATCGGTTCGGTTTATCGACTTCTGGTTTTTAAATACGTCAAACCAATAACCAATTCAATAAGAGATTTTTTATCGGTTTTCGGTTTATCAATTTTGGTCCTTAACGGTTCGGTTTTCGGTTTAGCCAATAAGAAAATACTTATAAAATGAATATATGACTTCTCTAATAAATTTGATGCAACAACACAATAATGTAATTAAAAAACTATACAAGTGTAACACAAAGAGAAATTAAGAGGAATATGGTTCTTAATTTAGATCTTGACGTTTTGTATAATGTGAAGTTGTGAAATAAAAGTCACTTTGAAGTGTGAATTGAAGGCTAAAAGATAAAGATAGTAACTTGTAAGGTTTTGAGATTAATATATAATATTTATGTACAAGTAAATGTAGTAAATTACTAGGTTTAATGGGTTATCGGTTTACCCAATAACCCAATATTAAAAACCAATACCGAACCGATAACCCAATAGTTTTTTTTATAAAATCATTAAAAAATTGTTAGTCCAATAACCCAATAGCAATAAACCAACAACACATTTTTTGGTTCGGTTTATCGGTCGGTTCGGTTTTTGCACACCCCTAGGCAGGAATATGCTTTTAACAATACTTATTCCAAATGAAGTTTGCCGATAAAGATCTTTGAGTTCAAAATTTCCACCACAACTTAGAATACATTGCTTTAGACACATCACCCACAGATATAAAATCCAAACCATCTTCAACCTTGGTAAGCAAACTTTTTCCCAGGTAGCCCAGTGTTTGATCCTACCGGTTAGCCTGTTATTTCAAAAGAACTTTGCGAAAATTCTATGGAGATCTTTCAACACATATTAAGGAGGGACAAGAGAAGATATAACATGTATAGGTATGCTTTGTAAACCGCTAAACAATAACACTTCTTTACCACCAAAAGAAAGCATATTACATTTTCATGCATGTCGCTTATCCTTCACCTTCCTTAATGAGATTTGCATAATGTTCCCTTCTTTTTCTAGCATGAATAATTAGAATTGATCCCTAGAAATACATTTCATCTCTGCGGCTGCACTTTGATTAAGATAGAAAAAACTTTTCTCTTTATTTAATTTGTTGACCTGTCTGAGCTTCATAGTATAATATTTCATTAAGATGTGTTGTTTTTTTTTATCTTTTAATAAGTTTTCAAAAGAAATTTTAAAAGAAAAGATAAATATGTCATCAAAATATAAAGAATTAACTACTTACTAGTAAATTAATATTGAAATTTACTCAACCTGATTTTTATTTAATACCATGTCATTTAATAGGTTATGAACACATGATCTTTATTTACCAACAACAACATACCCAGTGAAATCCCACAAAGTGGGGTCTGGGGAGGGTAAAGTGTACGCAGACCTTACCACTACCTCGTGGAGGTAGAGAGGCTGTTTCCGGTGGACCCTCGGCTCAAGCACATCCAAACCAAGCAAGAGAAGAGGAAACATTATATATAACATAACATCCAAAAAGAAAAAAGTACATAATCAACAACGTAGACAATAACATCAAGAAAATACTGTGAGGGGCGAAGCGTAGTATAGGATCACAGACAAGAACTACAAGTGCCAGGCTAGGACTACTACAAACACTACCAACCCATACCCTCACAAGGAAAGACAACCCGCTAACCCTGCTAACCTTCAACCTTAATACACGACCTCCATTCCTTCCTATCTAGAGTCATGTCCTCGGTGATGTGAAGCTGAGCCAAGTCCTGTCTAATCACCTCTCCCCAATACTTCCTAGGCCTACCTCTACCCCTCCGCGTACCCTCTACCACCAGCCCCTCGCACCTCCTCACTGGAGCGTCTGCGCACCGCCTCTTCACATGCCCAAACCATCTCAGTCTCGCTTCCCTCAGCTTGTCCACCACAGGGGCCACTCCCACCTTCTCCCAGATAACCTCATTCCTAATCTTATCGCTCCTAGTGTGCCCACACATCCATCTCAACATCCTCATCTCCGCAACATGCAATTTTTGAACATGTGAGTTCTTGACTGGCCAACACTCCGCTCCATACAACAAGGTCGGTCTAACTACCACTCTGTAGAACTTACCTTTAAGTTTAGGTGGAACTTTCTTATCACACAAGACTCCAGAAGCAAGCCTCCATTTCATCCAAGCAGCCCCTATGCGATGTGTGACATCATTGTCAATGTCACCACTTCATTGGATTACAGCCCCAAGATACTTAAAACTTTCTTTCTTAGGAATGATCTGTGTGTCAAGTCTCACTTCCCCATCTGCCTCATCCAACACATAACTGAATTTGCACCCCAAATATTCCGTTTTGGTCCTACTCAACCTGAAACCTTTGGACTCCAGCGTTCGTCTCCACACCTCCAACCTCGCATTAACTTTGTCCCGCGTCTCATCGATCAGTACTATGTCATCCACAAATAACATACACCATGGGACCTTCTCCTGAATAGACCGCATCAACTCATCCATTACCAAAGCAAATAGAAAAGGGCTAAGGACTGATCCCTGATGCAGCCCCATCTCAACTGGGAAATGCTCCAAGTCTCCTCCAACCGTCCTAACTCAAGTCTTGGCTCCACCGCACATGTCCTTTATCGCCCTAATATAAATCATCGGGACACCTTTAGCCTCCAAGCACCTCCAGAGGACATTCCTCGGTACTTTGTCATAGGCTTTTTCAAGGTCAATGAACACCATATGTAGGTCTCTCTTCCTTTCTCTATATTTTTCTACCATTCTTCGCATAAGATGAATGGCTTCGATAGTCGATCGTCCCGGCATGAATCCAAACTGGTTCTCAGAAATGGACACTCCTCTTCTCACCCTTATCTCCACCACTCTTTCCCAAATCTTCATAGTATGGCTTAGCAGTTTGATACCCCTATAGTTGTTACAGTTTTGGATATCACCCTTGTTCTTATACAACGGAACCATTGTACTCCACCTCCATTCATCAGGCATCTTTGCTGTCTTAAAAATAACATTAAACAGCCCAGTTAACCACTCTATACCTGCCTTGTTCGTACTCTTCCAAAATTCCACCGAAATCTCATCGGGTCCGGTCGCTCTTCCCCTGCTCATCCTACTAATAGCACGTATAACCTCCTCGATCCTAAAACACCTACAGTACCCAAAGTCCCGAAGTCTTTCAGAGTGCGCCAAATCACCCAGCACCATGTCTCCGTCCCCTTCTACATTTAAAAGTTTGTGGAAGTATCTTCGCCATCTCTGTTTGATGGAGGACTCTTCCACCAATACTTTGCCTTCCTCATCCTTGATGCACTTCACTTGGTCCAAGTCGCGAGCCTTCCTCTCTCTTGCTTTTGCAAGCCTATACAATTTCTTATCCCCACCTTTGTCCCCCAGCTCGACATACAAGCGTTTGAAAGCTGCCGTCTTAGCCTTCGTAACAGCTAACTTAGCTTCTGTCTTTGTCGTCTTATAAACCTCCTTAAGTGTCCGCTTCTCTTCCTCATCTACGCACTCCACCCACTTTGTGTATGCCGCCTTCTTTGCTTCCACTAAGCCTTGGACTTCCCCATTCCACCACCAATCTCCTTTATTTACCAAGTGTTATAAAAATCATCATTATATACCATGATGAAAATTAGGCACAAAATTAATTTAATTGCCAAACAATCATTTCCTTCAAAAGAAAATTATCGTTATCAACATTAAATGAATCTATATTAATAGCACAGAAAAAAAGAAAATAAAATAAAGATAAAGACGATACTTTATATGTTGAAAACACAAAATAGATAAAAAGTAAATATTTCCATTAAGGGAATTGAGGGGTTATTCAGTAAAAGATGGAGGGTTGATGAGCCTAATCCTTTAATCTTTGACCTCACCCTCAAATTCTTTTTGCAAAATGTCTAATTTTCATAAGTACAGGAAGAAACTTTTTTTTCTTTCTTGGTATTCAATATTCTTATTGAGACTCAACTAGGTTCGCATAATGGAAAGTCCCAAATTGAGGATAAATATCTGTCTAACAAAGATAACTCATGTCCAAGACTCAAACCTGGCACTTCTAGTTAAGGATGAAGGAATATTAACTCCTACCCCACCACAATCTTTGTTGGTAGAATACATCAATTTAATCAAACATATTGCAGAATATGCACAAGAAAGCAAATTGAGTTATTATTGGTATCAACAATAGTTATGGTGTGATGTATATGATTCATCCATCCTTAACTAGAGGTCTCGGGTTTGAGCCTTAGATATGAAGAAAATATTGATAGAGAGTGTCCGTTGAAATTCTAATTAGTCAAAGATTCAATATGATATATTGAAAACCGAGTGAACACAATATTAATTACAATTTACAATTTATTATGAATTCCATTGGAATTCTCTAATCAAGAAGAATGATAATTCCTATAATAATGAGCTATCACATTATATATTCCATTAACTGACACTCTTTCATGGTTTAGATTTTTGTATTTATCTTGGAAAGGTCTTGATGACACTCTTTAAAATGGGGAATTAACAAAGAAGGAAAACTTTTATGGTTGAGATGCGTGCAACACTCCCAGCCTCTTGTATTTAGGTATTCTGGTCTCACTACTGTATTTTTTTACTTTTGCATACATCAGAGCATGTTAGTTTTAAAAAAAATAAAATTGGAATCTCTATGTACATTGATGTCCAATAAACCACTGAGCTTTGAACCCCAATTTTTACAAACCAATCTTTGGACTTTTTACCTACAAAACTTTTGGAAAGAGGAAGCTAGATCGTGGCTCCAATGGTCATGAGTATTCTAAAACTAACAAGCTAAGGTGGATTATGGACAGTAATTTGGTCTAATAGTCTAACACTGGTGTTGTTTAGTTGTCTGGATTGCATATGGATGGATTTCCATGTCAAATTTTGTCTGCAATTTAGACGTGAAAAATAAAGAGAAATCCTAAAATTAACTTTCTTTTGTGATAAACTTTGAATTAAACGTTGAAAGGACAACAACTTTATAATGATACTATGGTTAGTTTGTCTTTCCCATGGGAGAGTATAAGGGACTTTGCATTTATTAATAGGGAATAGGGAGCAATAGACAAAATATAAGTTGGCTCGACTTTCTCCCGATGAAATCTCCAAACATTTCGCTATTGCTCCTCATAGTTGAAGTAATGACAACGATTCTACTTGTTCTCCCTGCAGAGGTCTCCAACTGTTTTGTCAATACTTTTCTGTCTTATTCAATTTCATTTGATATCATAAAAGTGTGATTCGGGATGTCACCTAAGTGAATTCTATAAATTTCTTTAGCAAGTTCCGCTACATGTGATATGCCCATTTTTTTCATATAGTGAATCAATTCTTTTATAGACGTAGAAAAAGTTGAATAGTTTGTACCTGATCATATAGAGGGACCAGTTTAGTGGGCTTTTATGTTAAGTTTTCATCCCTTTTTGGCATGCAAATGAATATTTGCTACCTTGACCTCTATTTTTGTGTAGTAGGTCTATTAATATGATTGTCTTTCCTGCTTTCTTTTCATGTTTAACTTTTACTGTGAGGTTTTGCTTTTGTTCTGGCTTTTAAAAGTCGTAACAGTCAATGTTTTCCTGGATATCTCAGTAAATTGTCTTCAGATGCTCTGCTCCTGTTCCAATGTATGAAGCTAGCAAATGAAAAGCCAAATTTTGTCACTTTGGTTAACCTGTTTTGTTATCTTCAATCTGATCCGATACATTTGTCGTTATTTTTTCTATATCTTCTTCCTAACTTTGTTCTTCATTTTTACTACTAATAGTTGTTACTTCAATTACTTTGTTTATCTTGTTGATTATGTTTCTTTGATCCTAACAACGGTTAAAAACTGTTGACTCGGGTTGGAAATATGGGAAAAGAACAAGTGAGACCAGTAGGGTCGCAGTTGAGTGTAACTTTTGTAAATAATTTACTAATGGTGGAATCTTTCGTCACAAACAACACTTGATCGGTACTTGCAAGGACGTCACACAGTGTGAACAATGCCCAGATGTTGTAAGGGAAGAAATGAAAAAATATGTTGATGTAAAGAAGGAACAAAAAGGTCAGGCTTTACTTCAATCGGATGTGACTAATAATGGTGATGATAAAGATGAAAATGTGGAAGAAGGTGAAGCTACTGAATAGTCACCTTCAAAATCACGAAAATAGTCATAGAATGCAACAATTATAGAACCATCATCTTCCTCAGCTTCATCAATAGGTATGTAGATACTTTTTTTCCTGTCTTTTGTAAGCTTTTAGTATTCCCCGTTAAACCATAATGGTTCTATGATTGTTGCATTATATGACTGTTTTCGTGATTTTCAAGGAAGTGACTATTCAGTAGCTTCACCTTCGTCCATAACTTCATCTTTATCATCACCAATATTAGTCACATCCGATTGAAGTAAAGCCTGACGTTTTTGTTCCTTCTTTTCATCAACATATTTTTTCATTTCTTCCCTTACAGCATTCGGATATTGTTCACACCGTGCGACGTCCTTGCAAGTACCAATCAGGTGTTGTTTGTGACGAAAGATTCCGCCATTAGTAAGTTTTTTACAAAAGTTACACTCAACTGCTGCCCTATTGGTCTCACTTGTTCTTTTCCCATATTTCCAACCCGGGTCAGCAGTTTTTAATTGTTGTTAAGATCAAAGAAACATAATCAGCAAGATAAACAAAGTAATTGAAGTAACAACTATTAGTAGTAAAAATAAAGAACAAAGTTAGGAAGAATATATAGAAAAAATAATGACAAATGTATCAGATCAGTTGGGATATGACATTTGAGAGGAACTCCACAAATTGGTATACTTCTGGAAGAGGAAAAGTCGTGCTTTGTTAGAGCCACAAATTGGTATTCATCACGACCACTATCATCTCTCCAAGTTCATATCATTATCTTTTTCAATATCCTCAAATTCACCCGTACAATTTTTGATAATTCTCACATAATTCAATCAATCTTCGCATGGAACACAATGATGAGAGCATATTCCCAAGTAGAGCCTCTGCAGCTATTTGAACCGTTTCAAAAAATCAGATTAAAACCAGATAAATTCACATTCCCTGTTGTGCTAAAGGTTTTTGGGCATTGTGTGATGATTAGAACGGGCAGATCATTGCATTTCATGGCTGTCTTGAGTTTTGATTCAGATTTACATGTGAACAATACCATTTTGAGAATGTATGCTGAATTTGGTGTGATCAGGTTTGCAAGACAAGTGTTTGATGAAATGCTTCAGAGGGATATAGTTTCTTGGAGTTCAATGATGCCTGCTTACGTTCATTGGTATGTATATTTGTTTCAGTTATTTGTCAAAAACACACATTAATTATTACTTTTATACGAATTTCACACCCCAATTATCACAATCTATGTATTAGGGACCACATAGCCGATTTTAACTACTTGTGATTCAAGCATGATAGTAGTAATTGTTGTCTTATTATTTACAGTTTCTTTTCTTTCTCCTTCTAAAAGATATTTCATGTATCTACTGATTACTCTGGAATCAGTACATTATTTATGATTTGTGAACCCGAGAAGTGTCCGAAGGCTGAGAGATTCTATAGCATTACGTGGAAGTTGTTTAAGATGATTATTATAATGGGAATGAATAGAATTACCAAACTGTAAGTAGATTTTGAATGACAAGTTAACTACTTTGTGGAAATGAGTTCAAGTATTGTTCTGTGAGGAATTATTAAGGGCTAGTCGTATTTTGATAGGTCTGACACATAATAGGTCACAATTTTTATGAACAATGCTAGCTTGTAACCTTGTTCGTTATCCTTCAGGAATTTGATGCCATGGTATTTGTGGTTCTCTTGAACCGATATCTGTGATCAATTACACTTGGTGAACTTTTTAAAATTCATCCCAGATGTAGATTGTGAATGCTTGTTTTGTACCATAAGAAAAAACCAGTATTACTATTACTTGGATATATTAGCTTGAATAAGGAGTACCAAACTTGTTCACTAGTATAACTTTTTCTCTTTTTCCTTCTTGCTGCAATACTACAATAGATTGTTAAACGAAGCCTAGGGTTCATATCTAAAAGGATCAGTAAGTAGTTGAGCCTATAAGATTTCAAACAGTGCATACTCTCCTAAAAGATCAGGGATTAACAATGGTGGAAATTTTCTTTTAAATTGGAAAGGAGCATGTACTTCGGAAAAATAAGGGAATAAAAATGAAGAAATATTTCATGGTTTAGATTTGGGTATTTATCTTGGAAATGTCCCGGTGATACTCTTTAAAATGGGGAATTAACAAACAAGGAAAATAGTCTAATAGCTAAGGTGGATTATGGAAAGTAATTTGGTCTAACAATGAAATGCTTCAAAGGGATATAGTTTCTTGGAGTTCAATGATGGCTGCTTACGGTCATTAGTATGTATATTTGTTTCATTTATTGGTCAAAAACATATATGAATTATTACTTTTATGCGAATTTCACACCCCAATTATCACAATCTATGTATTAGGGATCATATAGATGACTTTAACTACTTGTGATTCTAGCATGATAGTAGTAATTGTTGTCTTATTATTTACAGTTTCTTCTTCTTCTTTCTCCTTCTGAAAGATATTTCATGTATCAACTGATTACTCTGGAATCAGTACATTATTTATGATTTGTGAACCCGACAAGTGTGTGAAGGATGGGAGATTCTATAGCATTATGTGGAAGTTGTTTAAGATGATTATTATAATGGGAGTGAATAGAATTACCAAAATCTAAGTAGATTTTGAGCATGAAAAGCTTACTACTTTGTGGAAACGAGTTCAAGTATCGTTCTGTGAGGAATTTGTAAGGGTTAATCGTCTTTTGATAGGTCTGACACATAAGGTCACAGTTTTTATGAACAATGCAAGCTTGTAATCTTGTTCGTTATCCTTTAGGAATTTGGTGCCATGGTATTTGTGGTTCTCTTGAACCGATATCGGTGCTCTAATACTCTTGGTGAACGTTTTAAAATTCTTCCCAGATGTCGATTGTGAACACTTTTTTTGTACCATACGAAGAAATCAGTATTACTATTACTTGAATATATTAGCTTGAATAAGGAGTTCCAAACTTGTTCACTAGTATAACTTTTTCTCTTTTCCCTTCTTGCTGCAATACTGCAATAGATTGTTAAACGATGCCTAGGGTTCATATATGAAAGGATCAGTAAGGTGTTGAGCCTTTAAAATTGTGAAAGGTGCATAAACTCCTAAATGATCAGGGATTAACAATGATGGAGATTTTTGGGGTTGGATTTTTTCTTTTAAATTGGAAAGGAGCATGTACTCCTGAAAAATAAGGGAGTAAAAGTGAAGAAGAATTTCATGGTTTAGATTGCGTTATTTATATTGGAAAAGTCCCGATGACGCTCTTTAAAATGGGGAATTAACAAAGAAGGAAAATAGTCTAATAGCTAAGGTGGATTATCGACAATAAATTAGTATAATAGTCTAACACTGTTGTTGTTTAGTTGTCTGGATTACATATGGATGGATTCCCATGTCAAATTCTGTCTGCAATTTAGACCTGAAAAATAAAGAGAAATCCTAAAATTAACTTTCTTTTGAGATAAACTTTGAAATAAACGTTGAAATGACCAACTTTATAATGATACTATGGTTAGTTTGTCTTTCCCATGGGAGAGTATAAGGGGTTTTTCATTTATAAATAGGGAATAGGGAACAATAGACAAACAATAAGCAAGATCATGGCTCCAAACATTTCGCTATTGCTCCTCATAGTTGAAGTAATGAAAACGATTCTACTTGCTCTTCCTGCAGGGATCTCCAACAGTTTTTGTCAATACTTTCCCGTCTTATTCAATTTCATTTGATTTTATAAAAGTGTGATTCAGAATGTCCCCTAAGTGAATTCTATAAATTTCTTAAGTCAAGTTTGGCTACATGTGATATGCTCATTTTTTCATATAGTGAATCAATTCTTTTATAGATGTAGAACAACATGAATAGTTTGTACCTGATCATATAGAGGGACCAGTTTAATGGGCTTTTATGTTTGCTTTTCATCCCTTTTTGGTGTGCAAATGAATATTTGCTAACTTGACCTCTCTTTTTGTGTAGGAGGTCTATTAATATGATTGTCTTTCCTACTTTCTTTTCCTGTTTAACTTTTACTGTGAGGTTTTTGCTTTCTGTCTGGCTTTTCAAAGTCATAGTAGTCAATGTTTTCCTAGATATCTCAGTAACTTGCCTTCAGATGCTCTGCTCACGTTCCAATGTACGAAGCTAGCAAATGTAAAGCCAAATTCTGTCACTTTGGTTAGCTTGCTGGAGGAATGTACTCGTATCCTAAATATCAGATTAGGTAAATGTATTCACTCGCACATTGTTACCAGTGGTATTGAACTACATGTTAAGCTGGAAACAGCCCTCCTGGGCATGTATGCAAAATGTGGTCATATACAGCAGGCTTTCCGCATATTCAATTTGATGGATGATAAAATTCTGCAAACCTGGACCGTCATAATTTCTGGTCTTGTTGATCATGGACATGGAGATGAAGTTGTGTCCTCGTTTTCCAGAATGGAAGAATCTGGCTTTAGGCCGGATAACTTATCATTTTCTGCAATCATATATTCTTGTAGTCATATTGTCTTTGTTGATGTGGGTCATGAATATTTTGAAAAAATGGCAAGTATTTATAACATCAGGCCAACTATGGAACATTACAGATGCATGGTGGATATGTTTGGACATGCAGGAGAATTAGAAGAAGCTTGTGATATTATAAGGAGCATGCCTATAGAGCCTAATTCTGTGATATTGAGGAGTTTCATTAGTGCTTATAGGCATCATGGTTATATTCCTTGGACAGAAGAAAATATAAGGGAGATTCTCCTCAAATAGAGCTTGATCTCGGATCAAACTATGTACTTGCATCTAGTTTGTCTTATCTTTTGGGTTATTGCAGCGATGCAAACAACCTAAGATCGGCCGTGAAAACAAAAGGGATAAAGGAATATCCTAGCAGCAGTTGGGTGCAGTAACTTGATAGTCCTTCCGAAGGAAGCAGTTGAAGGATCTGGTAGTAATGTTTATGTTTATGCCAATAGAAGAGGCAATTCAGATCACAGGAATGAAGGCACTCTTACATTCCAAAGACGAGAGAACACTATCAATGGTGGAGGAAAATGAATTGCTTCTTTTTGGGTAACACCACTAGGCTGAGGTACAAGTTTAGGGGAGCTGTTGTTTTGACCATTGGAAGAGGGTCACACTAAAGTTCCTAACATTCTTGCATAATTTTGAATAACTTGAAAAGTGAAGATTATATTGTGAAGTGATTTTGATTTGTATCTCATGGGATATGACATTTGAGAGGAACTCCACAAATTGGTATACTTTTGGAAGAAGAAAAGCCGTGCTTTGTCAGAGCCACAACTCTGTTATCCTTCTCAAATTATTTCTAGCAATCAA